ATCACCACTACATTGCTATCATTGTGCCAACGATCCCGTAAAAAATAATCATGCTTTTTTTAAAGTAGGGTCAATTACGCAAGTATACACATAGTAAAACTACAGATCATGTTTTAAAGGTCCGATAGGACAAATTATAAACCGTTTTATTCGCTTTAAACAGGCCATAAAAAGGCTATGAAGTTTTCAACTGTGAAAGTAATTTAATTTCAATATGAATCCTGTAATATTTCGTTAGTGCTTTGCTCCGACGTCTAAGCGAAACTTTAATGGATGCCATTTACGAAGTTTTTATCGCTGTACTTTGATGGCGAAGTCAAATTACACTTAGTTAGAATTGAAATTGTAACTAGTCATTCTGAACCAATTAGGTATAGTTGTAGACCTGACCTCTACTCATGAGGTTGGAAATTATATGGATATTATTATTATTTTTTAATATACAGATGGACAGACAAACATGCCGTTCACTTGATGGAAGGTGAAAAAATCCCAGCCACAAAACTGTGTAACACTCATCTATGGACGGTGACCCGGACGTAATTTCTATATTCCTACCACTCATTGTATCCAGATTTCCAGACGAAGTCCAAGGTGTTGGATCTGGTGAGGGACAAACCGAGTATGACTAATAATCAAAGGGTCGGGACCCTTTGATTATTAGCGATACTTTGCTACCATTAGACCAACGAGCCGGTCGAAACTTAAATCTATAACTTTGTGTGCATTATTTAGATAGGTGATCATTTTTAGCGTTTGATGATTGTGATAAATGACTGATCAATAGCAACACGAGTGTTCAATTGAAGTTTAGGGATTATAAAGAATTTAAAAGAAGACGCCCAAATACCCTCTAATTCATTCAGTACAAATCATTTATTCAATAATCTATAGCATATCAAGTAATTATATATTTATATAAAACAATTTTAACGGTATATAATTTAAATAAAACAATGTTAACGGTTTAAACCGCGAAATGTATTAGTTAAGTATTTATGAATTTTCTCATCAAGCGAGCCCCATGCTTGTCTCCTCTGTCAAAAAAACATTTTATCAAAATTTAATTTTTACACTGAATTCATTCAAGTTATTTTCAACCACCAATTTGTCGCGACAATTGTCTTTATTTAACACATTTTGCGGTGACGTCTAAGGCATTCATTTTGTTCATTGTGATAAATGTGATTGTACTACAAAGGAGCATTAAATTAACAATTTCAATGTTTTATCAAGCGTTGGCAGTTCAGACAATGTAATGATTAAGAGTAAGATTTTATATAAAGTTATTCGTAAATGTAAAATTTGGCAAAGTAAGTCTGTGTCAGCGACTTCGTTCGCGTCGAATAATTATTTTGGGCATCAATGTTTGTTTTTGCAAACCATCTTATCTTTACACATTATAGCTCTTATCCACGACGTCGACCGCGTCGCATATATTTTTTTTATAATTGAAATAAGAATTGTTATTTTATACATTGTTTTTACGTATCTTGGACCGTGATATCTTATAGCCTAATAAAGCCTCCCTCGATTACGCGGAACAAAAAAAATCTTCAGCTTTATAACATTAGTGTATAGATAATGCTTTGAAAACGAATTATTAGACAGGTGACAAGTACCTGTCTAATAATCCGTTTTCAAAGGAAAAAATGTTTATAGCTTAGACCATTTCTATGCTCCAGTGCCGGTTAGTTGGTTATTAACTGCCGCTACTAAATTAATCATGATAACTGATCACCAAGGTACGGGGGTGATGACACTTCACTCAACTTTCAAACTCATGGCAGTAGATATCTTCTAAGAAAAATCTCCAATAACGAAGTAACACTCGCCAACAATTTAACCAATGACTCGGTTATAAGATTCAAAAGTAATAACAGTAATTCTGTATGTGAACGATACTCCGGAAAGATAAAGATAATACGCTTTGACGTCTTCAACTGATGTTATCTATCGGAAACTAATACCAATTGTTTTACGTACACAAAGAGGATACAAGAAAAAAACCCAAACAAAAATATGTGTATCTCCCGTAGAAACGTCGGAAACTCGTAACGTTACGATTCGTTAGTAACGAAAATAATAGGGCCCTTCGAAATAATTCACTTTAACAATTTCGCAGACCGCCATTTTTCTTTCCGAATTCTATTATGATAATTGAATTATTGGGTTGCGATCCTTATGACCTAGTCTTGAGATGTTAAGGTGACATAATACTTTTTTCTTTTAGGAACATGCTGGGCGATTTCCTTATAACTGTACAATATATTAGAGTTCGTCTGCAAATTTATCTGTGTGAAGTGTTGACACCTGAAAACTTTAATATTTCTCACGTCATTGCACTTGAATCGATTTTAGATTGAGAAAAATTACAACACGGGACGGCGCGGCATCCACAGCGTTTACTGTTGGTGGTGGTAAATGGAAGACGGCGCTAGCGTAGGAATTTTTACTTTGACGTTAGAAACATCCTCCATCTTTAGTCTCCCCTTGACCACGGCTGCTGCAAAGCATCCGAAACGTCGGGCCGTAGTTAAATAATTCTCAAACAAGTTAAACTAAAATATATCGCGTTTTAAACCGTTAAAGTGTTTTATTTAAATTATATATATAGTGTCTAAGGTACAGGCTCATAAAAGCAAGTAATATTTTGAAGACAGCTATTTTAAATGTTATAAACTAAATTTCAGTGTTATAATCACGCGTAAATATCAGAATCATGACATTGATTTTGATAATATTACCTTTTGGTTCTTGCTAGCTGATTATGGTATTGTATTTGAACTAAATTTGAACATTACAAATTCTCAACATGATATTGGCTGAAGGTGAAAGGAAGCTTAAGTAAATGCAATCAAAAATATTGTTGTTGAACCCACTTTTCCGCTAACGTCGTGTAAGATAAAAGTGTTGATTTTGCTCGGGAAATTCGGGAGAAAATGCAGTTTCTAATATCACAGAGCGAACGGAACGCTTCTTTGACAGTAATGGTTGTGTACACTTCTTAAGAACGCGCTCGTACGCTCGCAAAGACTGCATAAAAGCAGCATTCTAATATAAAACACCTAAGTTTTCATACATTTATGCGAAAGCTGCTTATCAAATTTTTAGTGGAAATAAGTAATTGACGTTCAATGTTCATTCAATATAAAATTAAAATACAAATAGAATTTTTGTTATCCTCAAACTATATTACAATATTAAACTCTTCGAGCTTAATAAGAGCGGTTTCTTTTGATCACTGAATCTATGAAGGTTAGATATAGGCTTTGTCTAGTCCAGAACACTGTATCAGAATGTCTTTAGTAACTTAGAAGAACGGTGACCAGTCATACAATATTTTATATGACATTTCGAGGATACGAGCAAGATATAAGATACTTACATGTCTTTATGATTTTTAACCCATTACCAAGGATTGATAAAATCTATAAAAAATATATTATGGTATTGTAGGAATATTTTTAAATTTGCGAAAGAAAATAAGCATTGAACATCGAGATGAAATCATTTATTTTGTAGACCACATTACATAAATATTAATACATTCATCGTTTTTTAAATTCACTTAAAATTGACAATTTAAAAACTACTCACAAAATTAATGTAATGTTTAGTTTCGTTATTACGACTTAACGATCATAGAGAAACATAATACTTAAATACTGTCTATAGTTTACGCGAGTAGTGCACATTTAAATAAAACACTTTAACGGTTTAAAACGCGATATATTAGTTCAACTTATTTAAAAATGATTTTTGTCTTCGTGGTCACGGAGAGACAGTCTCCCCGTGACCACGGCTGCTGCAAAGCATCCGAGACGTCGGGCCGAAGTTAAAAATCATTTTCAAATAAGTTTAACTAATATATCGCGTTTTAAACCGTTAAAGTGTTTTATTTAAACATAATACTTCTTTACAGCAGTGCAAAATATCGAACTTGCGTGTTATCTATCAGTAAATCGGACACAGATATACGTCCGTGCTATGCTTGACGTAGAAGAAACGGGACACTCCTTTCCTTCCTTTGTAGACTCCAGAATACCACACTAAAGTATTATTTACAGGGTCGACAAATAATAAATCTCTAAAGACACCATTGCATAGAGAAATATAAAACCTTATATCGATCGTTGTAAAAGCTAAAGAGAGTATACAATATTTAGTATTCTACGTTTTATCCTAGTGGTAATAAATAAGAAACAACTTTAAATAATTGAAGAAAGTATTTTTACGTGACATCTATACACAGACAGACAGAGTTGTTAACATAGTAAAAATGGAAACTTGCACGAAACTACATACTTACATAATAATAATTAAACAATATTTACAATTAACTTTATGTATTCGTCAGACTTATAAAAAAAAGAATTTCATTGATGTAGAAAAATACATTTAAGAGTTTCACATTTTCTTGTCCAAGATACTTGTTTTTTTTTAACGCCAAGGTACATTGCCTCAGTAGTTAAATTTAAATCATTAAGAAGTAAGGTTCTACAGTTTATGTACTAAATAAACTAACTTAGTTAAAGTGGCTAAAAATTATATTTATAAACTCAATTTTATAAACATTTTTTTATAATACATTTATTACCGGGCTCGTTTGTGTAAATTGTAGCAATATACGACTTAATCAACGGGTCGTGGGTTCGATGCCCACCGGTGCAACATTTGTCTAATCAATTCATAATTTTCTAAAACATGTTGTACTCGACAGGAAATGTAGATTTTAAATCGGTGATAGAAATATCGAAATTCCTTCCGGGTCACGACCCACCGTCTACAGATGAAAAAGCCGCGAATTTTCACATTTTAAATCTGTGGATTTCCGAATATCCAAAACAGGTCGATACTGCATCTTGTGTAGATGCTATAGGCCAGGGTATTTCATGTACCCTCTAGTGAGCCACACGCTTGTCTCGTAATTGTCCTCTATCATCAAAAAAAAAAAAGATTTACACATCATTACACCGGGACAAAACAGTTCGATAACTTTAGTTTTCAAGTTTTATTGCATCAAGTTCCAAGCCACTGGCCATCGGTTTGTCATTGGTATAATAAAATATGACTTCTTCGTCGACTTTCGTCTCAATACAAAAGGGTCCATGGTCGTCTTTTACGAAATCTACCTTACCGTGACGACTCTCTCTGTAGAAGCTTGTCTTAACTTTGGTCATACTGGACATCGTGGTTTCTCTTCTAGATTGCTCGAATGTGGAGCTCCTGCGGGATACTTTACGACAGAAGAGCGTCTCCTTAAATGCAAGACGATACCTGTTAAAAGATAGATTCAGATCGCTTTAGTCCTAAGGTAAAGTAAAGTATTTTTATGTAAATACTGTCTGTAATTACGCAAGTAATACACATTTAAATAAAAGCACTTTAACTGTTTAATACGCGATTTATATTAGTTATACTTATTCGTAATTTATTTTAACTACAGCTCAACGTTTCGGATGTTTTGCAGCGGCCGTGGTCACTGGGAAACTAGAAGTAGTACGTAGTTAAAATAATTTTCAAATAAATTCAACTAATATATTAATCGTTTTAAGCCGTTAAAGTGTTTTATTTTAATATTTTAATATAGTTAGGAATACTAGTAGTGGGAATAGTACCTATGTAATTACCAGTTAACATTTTTTGTTCGTTAAAATTTGAATCTTAATCATACGTTAACAAAGTCCAGTTCGTCGGAGCACTTTTATTTCTTCTAACTCTAGACTTTCCAATTTCGTCAATATTCAGATAAATTGGCTTTATTTTCAACATTTGTGACTTTGACTTAAAAAGAAAATAAATCGACATTTTCCCATATGTGTGGATATTTGCTTCTGGCATGTAACTGTTTATTGATGCAAAAAAAAAGAGGTGACACATTTATGATGTAGAACTAAAAAGCTGGAACTGATGGACTTCTTTCAACAATCTCAAATAAATTCTGATGTGTCTTTGTAAGAATGTTATATTGCGTTGTCGTCTTGACAATGTAGATAGCGTTTTGTCGTATTTGGTTATTGCAAATACGTATTACCTTTTAAGATATCAATGTTAAAAAAACTAACTCATTGAAATTAAAGTTATGTTAGCCGACATATTAAGATAAATCGATTTTATACTTAGATTTAATATTAGAAAGACAGCGTTGTCTCATCTTAAATCTAGATAGATACATTGGCGACAAAAATATGTTTTGTTTTGATTTACAAAATTTTTTGTAAACAGAATTATGTAATCGATATTGACTTCTTGTATTTTACTATATAAGTTTTATAATGAAATCTCAGCCACAAATTTTCCGCAATTACGTGTCGAAATAGTTATCGCCGCCAACTAACTTTGTCACAGTTCTACATAAAGTTCCTCCATTCTTAGTGGAAAACTTCAGCTAATGAAATAGTAATTAATATGTATTTGGAGTTGTCAGTTAGTTTGTCAACTTCAGACCAAAGTTTGCTGGAACTTGAACCGTGCCTTGATTTTGTGTATAGATAACATATTTTCCGTAAGCCTGTTAAAATAAGATGTAGGAAAGGAAAATTTTTAAATTGAAAAGCTTATTGGATCTATATGATGCAAATACAACAATTCTTTATTGCCATAAAACAAGAAACGGAGCATAACACAAAATAAAATTGATTAAACTAAGGACAAACGGCGGCTTTGTAACTAAATAGCTATCTCTTCCAAGTAAATCAAAGCACAGTAATAAAAAAGCTTTACGTGGCAGCAGAAAAGGTACTTACTTGAATTTGTAATAACAATAATACAAAAACTAGCGTTATCTAAATAGTGGAACAACGATATATTCTTGAATTCTTGTTAATATTATGATCAACTAAGTTTTCACTAGGCGTAAAAAAGTAACGTTCTTTTCTTTAAAAGGGGTAACACATTTTTCCCTTATTCTGGTAGATATGTGTTCCAATCTACTTTTTGAAATTATATGTTTTTTTAGTATGTATATGCTGTGTATACATACTAAAAAAATTTTGCCACAAAATTAAATAATCAATTAGATTTATTCGTCAACTCAAATATTTCAAAAAAAAGTTTTAGAAATCTTACATCCATAAATTTTAATTAGTTGTTTTATTCTTATTTAATGTCTACCTAATCTGTAGTTTTAATTGTTATGTAAAAAACTCTCTTTTTTTAATCTTTGTTTAATATATTTAGTTAAAGTTTCACACCTTTAAGTAGATACATAAGTAGTATTAACTATTCTTAGAAATAGATTTTGTAAGTTTAATTATGTATGTAGTTGGTGAGCCTTGTATAAATAAATAAATAAATAAACATTATGCCACATTAGGGAATTTGGTGAACTATTTTCCTTCGCCAGAATCTTATTTAAGGATCAAATGCAACACGTTCACGGTTAACGAAAGCCATTTAAATTTTATAAAATAACTAGCGACCCGCTCCGGCTTCGCTCGGCTGCAATGCTGATACTAAATACACTACAGAAACACTGTAAATGTTGCATATAAAATCCTTCCTCTTGAATCACCCTATTTATAAAAAAACTGCATCAAAATCCGTAGTAGTTTTATAGATTTAAGAGTACATATGGACAGAAAAAGCGACTTTGTTTTATACTATGCAGTGATTACTTACCGGGCACTCATGACGTTGTAAAGTATAGGATTGACCGTAGCGGACACGTAGTACAAAGCCCCAGCTACGTTGAATAGATGTTCGTTGATCACGTGAAATTGCGCCAAGTTATACCCGTAGATGTAGAACAGGCGCTGCACGTGAAATGGACTCCAGCATACGAAGAAAGCTATCACCACAGCCACTGTTGATTATAAAGTAATTTATTTTCTCTCATCTACTCCAAATGTCAAGTGTGAGGCATCACTGAAAGCAAGCGTTATCTTTGGTACATATTAGAAAACCTGAGTGGTAACCTTCCATATAGATCGTATTTCACAAAAAAAAATAGAACAAAAATAAATATACTGTTTTAATGTTTTTTTTTGTGAAATTTACTTTTTTTGTGAAATTTCAATAAAGTAGTTGCATCTAAGTTTTATATTGGTGTACTAAGTTATTTTTCCCTGTATTAGTATAAACTAACTGGAGTTTTTAGTTATTTTTTTTTTATTTCAGGTAAATAACTTAATTATATCTTTTTAATCAATAAATAAGGTTTTCTATCTAGCTTTTATTAATTTATCTATGAAGCGACAATGATAATCATATAACGTACATTCCCAAAATATTTTTAAAATATGTAATAGTATGATATAATAAAGGATATATGAAAACTACGAGATAAGCCGAAAGCACTAAGCTTCCTTTAAAAGAACGAATCTTGTTATACATGCGCAGTTTGTTCGCTTACAATCAAATAAATCTAAGTTGTTGGTCTACTCTACCCTCTTGAGCCTAATAAAACAATAATTTTCACTTGAAAGGACTAAGTACGTGTCCTCGTTGCGAACGAAAAATATACGATTGGCGATAGTTTTTTCTTTATTTGAAAGATAAATATGCGTAGCTATAATACTTTACATAAAATATATTATATATGTGGCGCTCCAGCCGCTATGGGCCAGGTCAAGCATAGGACTCCACACTGTCCTATCTTGGGCCCGTTTCTGTCCTTTAAAGCCCTAATGTGTACTAAAAGTAACTTTGGCCTGCCATGTCTCCGTCAACCTATCTAGGAGTTTCCGGGGTACTCTCTCATCTTCCATTCAAATTACCCACCCCATTGTTGCTATCTAGCCGGATAGTCTTTACTACATCAGGTTCGTTGTAGAACTAGTTTTTTTAGAATTCTATACTAACCACCGTCTTACACAGCTTCCGAAATTCGCCTGTAAATATACTATGTATTGATAATTCAAGAACAACAATTTATTAGAAAGTTCGTAGATATATTTAAATATTATAATATTGACGAATGCATTGAATTGTAAAAAAAAATTGGTCTTAAACTGACGACCCATAACTTTGTAATTAATAAACCCCATAGAAAACTTATTTAACATAAGACCTCATTCAAAGTTTAATTTAAAATAGGCAACTATTTTTGAATGTAAAACCCTTTGAATACGATTTAGTATACCTTTATCAACTAAGATTTAGTTCCACCGCTTGCCCGCAGGTTCACGGGGACGCTGTTTACTATTATCCCAAAGAAGATAGATGGGGCACATTAATTCAATCCTATCAAAGAATACCTTTATAAATTCCCACTATTATCTAACTATTAGTTCTTAGTATTTCCACGACGAACATTTGACATTAAGAACAATATACTTCAGTTGGTCACACTTCCTCACTTTATAATATAAATGAATATTAATAGGTAATTCATTTTGTTGTTTAATGTTAGCTACAATATGTTTGCATTGAAAAACATTGATGACACGTTTGTAGTTTACGCAAGTAGTACACTTAAATAAAACGCTTTAACGGTTTAAAACGCGATATATATGTCTCCCCGTGACCACGGCTGCTGCAAAGCATCCGAAACGTCAGATCGTAAGAAAAATATTTTACAAACAAGTTAAAAAATATATTCAATATTTGAATGGCGTTTTAAACCGTTAAAGTGTTTTATTTAAATTGATGAGACGTGTTGAACGCGAATCCAACGCGCGTTTGCTCTGACCAACTTAGCACATAAATCCCGTCCAATCCGTATTCGTTCTAACAAATTTGTTCAATCCATCTATATATGTGACTCTGGTGAAATAAAATTGCAGCTTTAATATTTGCGACTTAAAGTTCAATTCCATTTTTCCTTAAAACTATTTGTAACTACCTCCCATTGTAAAATATTGCAACTAGCTTGTGTTATCGTGTATGTTCTTTAAGACTTTCTCTTGTTACAGTAATATATAATAAATTACAAGTAATGTACATGTTAACCATATATCAATTGCTCACAAGACGTGACATACGAGTTTAGTCATCTAGAACGATAATATTTTCGGTTCATTTATTATCTCTGGAAAATTTCTCAAGAAAATGGACGAATAATGTTTTTCTTAGTTTCCTTGGTGTAACTTGTATGGTGATAAACAAAAATATATTATGATGAAAATGAGACAATATATATAACTTACTACTTAGTGAAAACTTTCATTTTGTTTTACACTAGCTGTGTCAGCGACTTCGTCCGTGGGCATCCAAATTCGTTTTTGCAAACCCATTCATCTTTATACACTTAAGCTATTACCCACGACGTCGGTCGCGTCCCTTTCCTCGTCGGTCTAGCAAGTTAATCTTCAAAGATAGTCATGAAATGTCCCACACTTTTTTTAAGATCATCTAAAAAGGAATCATTCTTTCATACATATTTTTAGGTTATCTTGAACCGTTTTTGCACAATGATGAACAAGTTTTCCAACTTCACATTTCTCGCTCTATCTTCGCTTGTATTAGTCACACGGCAATGTTTTATAGCCTTCCTCGATACATGTTCTAACCAACACAATAATAATTTTTCAATTCGAACGCGTAGTTCCAGAGATTAGCGCGTTCAAACAAACTCATCAACTTTACATATAAGTATAGATTTTTCTTTAGCCTGGAAGCGAGGGAATTTATTTTCGTCGAAAGTTATAATCTAAAAGAAATAAATTCTTAGTCCGAAATCATTTTCATCTTGTTATGATAATTTTGTTTCAGGACAGAGCGACCTACTTTAATTGTTATTAAAATAGGGGGAAGATAACCTATTTTAGTTCTTCTATCGAACTTGTTGTGACAGAGACCTAGTTTTTAATAGTGTTTTGAAGTTATAACTGTATCAAGTCGATATTTCTCCACTAAATGTAGTTATTGTTTTATTATTTTATTTAGTTACTATGAAGGTTGTTTGCTGTTCGAAAGCGTTTTAACTGACTGAAATGGTGTTAGTTTTTTATTTACACAATTCCTTTCCTAACCCGTTTTTTTAAAGCATATTATTGTCTTTCGGGCTGTTCGGCCGATGTGAGCGAGAAGAGGTTCTCGACGTTTCGCCATCACGTTGGACGGCATCTTCAGGAGATGTTGACTCCTCATTGCTCGAAGAATTGTGAAGCCTTACTCAATCCATTTTTTTTTATTTTGTCAGATGTTCACAAAGTTTTTTTTTTAAACTTCGGGCCGAAGAAAAAAATCATTTTCAAATAAGTTTAACTAATATATCGCGTTTTAAACCGTTAAAGTGTTTTATTTAAATGTGTACTACTCGCGTAAACTATAGACAGTATTTACACAATTCCTTTCCTAACCCAATTGTTTTTTAGTCTGTAGGGTGTTTACAAAGTTTTATCAAAACTAGTCAACTAGCTGCTTGGACGAGGAAGCCCAGAAAGATAAGTATTATTTTTATTTCTTAAATGTTATCAAACATCAAAACATTTTCTTATATATCGTTTTACCTATATACTGAATGTAATGAGGTTATTCTTGATCTTTTTTAATAGGTGTTATTTTTTTTAAAACAAACGTTGTCCATACACACTTTTCTTTCTTTTCTCATGAGGTGTTATTTTTTATTAAAAAATATTCTTCTTTAGAAAGGGTTCTTTAAGCCCCAAATAGACAAACGGATCAACACACAGCTTAAATCACCGTTTGTATTGACTTGAAAAAGAAAGAAGTACTCAGCTTTTGTATATCAGGGCCAAGAATTATATTTTAAGGCAAAAATGTAGGCAGTTTGAATGATTTATGTGTTTACACTTTTCGGGGAATATCTACGGACTTTTTTTATAAATATGTTTCATTTCAAAACAAAAGACAAGGACTAGTAAGGATTAATTAATAATTATTTTTAATTTATTACTTACAATATTAGTTAATAGTTTTATTCTAAGCCTTCAATCTTAAAACACATATTGTATACTATAGCACTTATGTTATTCTGCGCAAAGGAGGAATGGGGAAATGGGTGAAGTGGTTAGCAAATGGCGTAGACAGATCACCCGGCCTTGCCCGGTGTCCCCAATAGAAAATAATAATAGAACTTGTACATAGTATGTAGGCGTATAATATAAATGAATCCAACTGAACCGTTTAACGGCTAATAACTGATATAATAGTGATCAAAGTAATTTTTGACTCTATTATCAAATCGTGCTATCGTCAACTCAATTAGAAGTTGACAAGTGATTTGTTAATTTGGGCGCTCTTTCTACACCGGTGAATATTAGTAAAATTATGGAGCTGTTAAAAAGTTAGAAGTGACTGTAAATTAGAAAAAAGCATGGGGTATAAAGACCGAAATATTAAATATTATGTTGTATAAAAAAAAGTACGTAATCATCATAAAAAATACTAAAAATAAATGAATGTTTATGTTATTTTAAATTATACGAGTATGTTTTAAATACCTTTATATTTACAAAGCGGTCTAAAATAGAATAATGATTACTTATTTATCGTAAGTCGTTATAAGTGGCGCCTTAGAAACTAAAATATATTCACAATTTCATATTAGAATTTACGTTAATCAGCGTTCTCACATAGAACAAGAGACATTCCATCCCTTCTAATATTAAAGGGTAGAAAGTACGTTAACAAATTAACGACACGTCAAAGACGAGCTCATAACAAGAATTTACCTGCATCAAAACACGAGGTGAGTTTTACGAAAATTTGTAGTCGTGTATTTATTTTCTACTTGTACACAATAAAAAGAACTATTACAGTTGTTTAAACTATCTTGTCTCTACTTATGTATGATTGTTCCATCGTTATTTTTAAAGATCATTTTAGAGTTGATGTTTTTATATTTTACTTATAAATGCCTGATAAATTTCAAATAAAACTTACATTTTAAGTTATTTACCTAAGTTTTTTTATCAAGTTTATATTTTAAACCTAATGATTATTTTTTCTTTGCTATAAACTCGAAACGAAATAAAATTAAGACAATTGTAACGTGCTTCTTTTAGAAGAGCACCTTGTTTATACCATAATATTAGTTCTACCCAGTTCTGTCGAGTGACGCCGTTTGAAATTCATGGCTGTAACGCTTATTAATTTCAATCAAGCCTTGAGCTCAAGCTAAGATTAGAGTGGCCTAAGTAAACAATAATAGTAGGAGTGCAATAAGCCATTTTCCTCTTGGGGCTCCTCTATAAAAACACGGTAAAAAAATAATCAAAATATAGCAATTTAGCTGTGTCTGGATTGTTATTTTTGGGTTTTAATAGAATCTTTGTAAATTATCTTACTATTTATGTTCCATGACACTTTACATTATATCAGTACCTTACACGGCGTTATACAAAATATAGAATTTACACGGCTAAGTCTGTTGTAAGTTAGTTTAAAAAGCCGTGTTGTAATTAAAATATTGATATCTTAATTTCCATTTTAAACCACCTGAAATATTTCACTTACTGCAATCATGTAAATATGGTTCGGTGTTGGGGTAAATAAATCTACATCGATTAGCCAAAATCGAGATTTTATTTATTTGTTCTTAAAAGGTGTTGTTTTGTTTGTTTCCCATGTTGAAAATGTGAATACGTTTAACTGATCGATTCTATTTACATGCAAGAAGTTTATCGGAGTTTTGGGCCCTGTCTAAACGAAATAATGTAAATGTTTTCCCGGAATTTGAATACAGGAAGCCAAACAAAACATTGAGTAGTAACTCAACCATTAAACGAGACAGGCAATTTTTCTACTCTGTGATAATTATTTCTGTATTTAAATATATGTTTGTCCATCGTGATATTATTATGTATAACTGACTTGCACGAAGCTGACTTACATAAAGCGAGTTGAGAATATCGTTCTCATTTCCCATCTTACGTAATATATTAGTTAACCGAGTTCGAATTTCACACAAACATAATAGGAATTTAATATCAGCTTTAGTATTAATAAAAACACATATCACACCTGAACAGCAAAATCCTTATTTTCCTCATAAATCTCCCGACTAACGGAACGGAATAAAATAAAAGTCCCGAGTGAAATTCAACTTGAATATTACGCTTGTAACAGACGTAACAGCCAATTTTGCAAAGGCTTCTTTTAATCTGTAGACTGGCAGTATAAAAAAATCTGAGCAGATTTACTAGCTGTTCACGGCTCACGGCGTCGACCGCGTCTATGCAACACAAAGATTTCAAGTCTAACCAGTGGCTCATGAGATTAGCGCATTCCAACGAGTTGCTTACTCGCTGCTTAGACTGCATTTACTATAGTAACCATTACACGTTCTGAGTTTATAAAACAATGTATTTCAATATGTACCTTGTTCTTAGAATTTTTATCTTTTTGCGACGTGACGTTACATTGAACCCAAACAAATGAAATCCCAATATTTCGGAACTTGTTCGAAATTTGACGCTCAGAAAGCAATTTCAACATTGAATATTATTTGAATTCTTTTCGTTGATAATGAAAATGTGAACAAAAGGGACGTGGGACTAAAGTGTAAGGTATGGGGCTAGCATAATACATACTATATATATTTACCTATATATGTATTGTTTCAATACAATATTTGTAACTGATTAAAACGCGAAATACATTAGTTAACTTGTTTATAATTTGTGTTAACTACGGACCGACGTTTACGCGCTAGCGTAGCAGATTTGACTATGACAATAGGGTCACCATCTTAAGTCCCTTCGAGACCACAAATGTCGTTAAAAGTTCCATTTATTTGTTAAATTTCCGAAACTTAAACAGTTTGTATTAAGTTTTAAAGCTATATATTTTCAAAAGGCAGACTCAACACTAAATGACGTACTTAATGTGTCACCTGACATGGTGACATTTAAAATGATTATTTTTAATTTGATAATACCAATTCACCTTTTGAAATAGCCAACAATAGACCGTACAACGTATAATTATATGTGATAATACTTTCTTGAGACTTATCCATATTTCTAAGAGATGTTGTGTGGGAAGAACAAACGGCCTGTCCCTAGTATCCGTCTATCATTGTATTCAGAGAAGACATTTTTTTATATTAAATTTTCCAATCACCGCATAACATGATTGATGATATGTGCTACGCCGTAGAGGCCACCTACGCAGAGTCCAACCTACGCCGAGTTTAATAACATGGAATAGTGTCTTTGAGATTTTGGATAATATTCTAAACCAAGGAGTCTATTAGTTTGTTTGAACGCGCTAATCTCGAAAGTACTGGTTCGAATTAATTTTTTTTTTTTTTTTGGATAGGCCATTTATCGAGAAAGTGTTGCGTTCCGCTATACACAGGATAGCTCAATTGTTTAAAGTAGCACGGATCGATGTGGATGCCGGTTCATGGCCCATATTTTTCGTATTTTTTTTTTATCTAAATAAATTTACAATTCATATAATGCCATCATGTGCAATAACATGTGAAAAATATTATAGTTTTCAAAAGCATCTTAGTGTTGCGTCTAAATTGCAAATAAAAAGTATCGATATATTTTTTTTTGTTAGCATCAATTCAACATCTAAATTAATTTGAAATTTTGACACATAATAAGTGATAGCATTCTCGATGTAGAAAAACATTAAACACACTTGAGATGTTCTGTCCAAAAGTTCTAGGAAACGACGCAATTCAAGTAACAACTAACATAAAACTCACCCAACATTCTAATGATGGCTTTCCTCGACTTCGCCTGTCGTGTTTCTCCGTGAATCTGCCCGTTCAACAGGCTTTTTGTCTTCTTACTTATGCGGGTCGATCTATAGAATTGAAATTATAATATTTTCAGGTTCATATGAAAACACAAGAAGTTTTTTTTAATTTGATTAATATATAGGCTTTTTTATGATAGAGTAGGATAGACAAGCATGCGCTTTACTTGATGAGAGGTAAAACGCTCCGGTCATATAACATCTACAGAAGATACTCTGGATATTCGGAATTCCACAGACTGAAACCGAAATGCGAACTTCACGGCTTTTCCATCTGTGGACGGTGGTTCGCGATCCGGGCGGAATTTCGATATTCCTATCGCACATTTAATAGCTATTTTATGCTATTCTCTGTAATTTACGTTAGTAGTACATACTTAATCACGAAATTATTTATCATATTATAAAAGCGATCACGAAAAAAGTTAACAAAAATATTTCGTGTTTAGAACCGGTAATAGTTTTCAATTTAATATAACATACTTAGATAACGAGTTGGAAGTTAAAAAATAACATTTAACGCATGTTTTATGTTACCATTAAATATATATTAAAAATAGATTATAAATAATGTAAATTATAAATTAATAATAATGTAAAAAAAGTAAATCTTTGTAAATTGTATTTCTGAATATTATATACGCGAATAATCCCTCTTTTCGCAGTAACAAAAGAATCGAAAGGAAATTGAAAATGTAACAAACTTCACGATTTTTCAGAAACAACGCTTAATATCTAGCATACCAGATGAAAATACCAATGCCAGCTGATACCGCAACAAAAGAATTTCCATAGAAGTCTGTACTAATATTGTTTTAACACATCGCATTTACATCGTAAAAACATAAACCTTTTTCTTTTAACAGACTAGCTGTGTCAGCGACTTCGTTCGAGAATCGTTATTATGATACGACGTCGGTCGCGTCCCTTTCCGTCATTCTTGCAAGTTAACCTTTAATGATAGACATACAGCGTTTTTTTTCACATTTCTGACTGTATCTGCTTGTATTAGACACACGGCGATGTTTTATAGCCTTCCTCGATAAATGCTCTAACCAACACAAAAATATTTTTAAATTCGAAGACGTAGTTCCAGAGATTAGTTCGTTCAAACAAACTATTCAGCTTTATATATTAGTATAAATGTTTGCTGTCTGCTTTGCGTTAATTGATTTCCTATTTAGTCTAATGTCCTAATAACTACTAGTACTCTTAAAAGTAAATCTGAAATCATATTGTATATGTTAGTTTTAATTAACGACACAAGATAAGGTAGACGAGGTGCCTTGTAACGTATTCTGTTTTAATCACAAACATTATACATAAATTAGAGATTGTGCTGTAGACAAAGCAGTAATGTTTAAGGAGAATTTAACTACAATATTACGTACTTTGTAATATGTTATGTGAGAGACATAATTACGCATTACGCGAGTAATACACATTTAAATAAAACACATTTAACGGTTTTAAACACGAAATATATTAGTTAACTTGATTTTAAATAATGTTAACTACGACCTGACCTTTATTATATATTTCGGGTTTTAAACCGTTAAAATTTTTATTTAAATAAATATGAAATACCATAATTTTTAATCTTGTTTGGGCAGTTCATATTTATATCTTTAACCACTTATCTGTTAATATATTCATTCTTTTGTGATTGTAGGCTACCGAAATAATTAATTATGTTTAGTCTGGATACAAATCTAGGACTTATCGCGGCTTACAACAATGTTAAGAAGCTCGCGTAAGCTTAAAGATTTTCAAAATCCCGTCTTTTATGTTAATTTTGTTTTCCGTATTCTTATCTCCGACACCAACCACTCATCAATCAATATGTCGTAAACAAGTTAAATCAAGATTTATTTGCAGAAAAGATACTTAGCTATGCACCTCGGTTTTTTCATTCGTAACTTCTTTATTCTAAGGGAAGATAACACTTTCTGGTTACGTCAAACAAACAACACAAAAATACTTTATTTTCACCACAATATTACAAAATAAAACTTATTATAAAAATCCAAAATGTAGCGAACGTACTGTATACGTACGTGTCCGTAGTTTATTTTACATATTTAAATTCCCGAAACGTCGGGCCGTACTTAAAATATTTTTCAAATAACGTTGACTAATGTACATCACGTTTTAAACCGTTAAAGTGTTTTATTTAAATGTGAAGTACTCCCGTAAACTACAGATAGTATTTAGGATTTTACAAGTTTAACATATACTAAAATTTTGGCCTCTACATACAAATAGATAAAATTTAGAATAAGTGAATTATATCCTAAGTTCACTAAGTATAAACGTACAAGTCTGATGTGGGTCGAAAGACCTCTATAATGATGCAGGGTTAAGTGGCGTGGATACCAACATTAATATCAAAGGGTAATTTGGTGACGCTGCATGGTCCTTCGACAGATTTTAACCCTCTTTCCGATAGAAATGTATTATGAATTGATTCAGAAATGGACCATGAAAGATGATTCTATAAAAACGAGCCGTGTCGTTAGTAGAGTAATATTATATGTTTAAGTATTTTTTAATTACTGGCTGTCCCGGCAAATGTTGTGTTGCTATATATAATATTATTTCTAGTGTGTAAGAATCTGGTAAGACTGGTCGAGCCGTTTCCAAGCAGTATAATAACATTTTGACATGAGAATTCTATATAAGTCATGAATATGTTTAAGTATACAAGGGGGAACGATTTATTATCTTGAGTAAAAATTACACATTAGACATCTAATAAGTTTCTTGGCTAGATAATAATAGAGATAAGAAAGTTTTTGGGAGTTTTGTTTTTCTTTCGCGTAAACGCGTCGACCATAAGGCGGATGTACAAAACATAATAAATATGTACGTATAAAAAATAAATTGTAAATATATATAATTTAAATAAAACACTTTAACGGTTTAAAACGCGATAAATTAGTTAAACCTTATTTGAAAATGATTCAGTCTCCCACGGGACCACGGCTGCTGCAAAGCATCCGAAACGTCGGGCCGAAGTTAAAAATCATTTTCAAATAAGTTTAACTAATATATCGCGTTTTAAACCGTTAAAGTGTTTTATTTAAATGTGTACTATCGCGTAAACTATAGACAGTATTTAATATATATAATAATAAATGCATCCGCATTAAGATGACGTTTTAGTTGTAGATTGTTCCCTACACCTCTCATAATTACCCAAACAAATATCAAACACAACGAACGTAAAAATGATTACAAAATTACATCGAATGTGTAGATGTGTTTGAGCCATCTACGTCATATTGATCCGATCGTCAGCACTCGGTGCACGTTGATTTGTGACGTCGACATGAGATGAGATGTAGCTGTCAATCGACATTGACATAATGTGTCCGTTAAGTTTACAGACACGTCAGAATAACGAACAACAAGCGAAACATGTATAGTTTATTTTTTCTAACTTGGCAAACACACAATTTACATGAAATCGTGGTCTTTAGTTTAGAGTGTGTACACTAAAAATACTTTGAGACACTGGATTACATATTAAACTAATGAACTAACTCAAATTCACTCAGTAAACTACAATTTCATGCTCAAAATAATTAAATCCTAAAAATTAATGTACGTCACTTTGACTTTTACATAAGGATGAGATATGAGCAAAGTTACGACATTAGAAAGTAGAAGTCTCACACATGCACTATCGCTAAAGGCGTTTTAAACGCTGAGTTTAGTAACAATGACTTAAAACAAAGAAAAAAAGGTCGTAATAAAAGTGATAAATATTGAGGTCCATATATAATCGATAGTTCTTTATCCCAATGTCATTTGTAGCAACAATTTAACTCTATAAAAGGTCATCTCTATGGTTTGTAATCGGCCATATTTGTCGTGGTCTTTTGCATAGTTAGAAAAAATATAATAATAATATCCAAAGCCAAAAAAAGATAGTAACTACTTGTCTGACTCTGAATCTATAGTTATAGGTTTGTTTGTTTGAACGCGCTAATCTTAGGAACTACAGGTTGAAAATAAAAAAAAACAAATTTGGATGCCCAAAATAACGATTCTCGCGAACGAAGTCGCTGGAACAGCTATTAAAAAATAAATACACAATATTTTTATGTTAGCACATATCAAAGAGTAAATATTATCTTACGTATAGTAAAAATTACCTGATATGACAGCCCATAGTCACGTATAAGCAAAGGATGAAAATTGCCGGCAAGAAGAAGAAAAATATACTGCTAAGCTCCAGTAGTGGTGAAGACGCCATCAGAGCGCAAAATGCAGAATCCAGCGAAATGTTGCCAGAATCTGTAAAAAAACTTAAAATGTTACACAACCGCGCCTGAAGCAAACTTGTAAGTGGCTAACGTAATCTTTACTAATATTATAAGCTGAAGAATTTGTTTGTTTGTTTGAACGCGCTAATCTTAGGTTCTAATGGTTCGAATTGAGAAATGATCTTGTGTTAGTTAGAAAATTTATCAAGGAAGGTTTTATGCTATAAAATGTGAAGAACAAAAACGGGAAAAAATATTTATCTTTATGGGTTATCGCAAAAAATATTAATTTGTCTCAAAACCGCTAGCAAAATATATACCAAAATTTATAAAGTTAACAATAATTTATTCAACAAAGACCAATTTCTTTCTCATTCATTGACATTCTGTGGTATGGAGTTTGGAATACGAAACAGAAATGGCTTCAAAGTACTAAAATGACAAAAGTTAGGAAAATATCATCTTTGGCATCCCCAATTTATATACCACAGGAGATTAAAAGATCTTTAACCTGAGAAGTTATCTGAACTCCTAATACGTGCACAGATCCCAAATTTACTTAAGTACGAACCAAAATTATATTGATATCAATAAAATACTATTTAACAAAACAAAAAATTATTTTAAGATTATTTTTATTTTATCAACTACTATTTTCTATTTAAATAAAACACTTTAAAGGTTTAAAACGCGAAAATATATCGTTTACTAATAAGTTAAACTTATTTGAAAATGATTTTTAACTTCGGCCCGACGTTTCGGATGTTTTGCAGCAGCCGTGGTCACGGGGGGACCTCGGCTGCTGCTGCTGCTGCTCTTTACATGCAACCGAAACTCTCATTAGCACCGAAGTCACAGACCAAACCTCGTGTAATATAATATCGAGAGGATTTAAATATATACAAGTGTATATGACACAAAACATATTTTTTAATTATTTAAAGACGATGAATTCTTTCAATCATAGTATCTTTAACTCAGCGCACGTTACGGAAACCCGCAAAGATGAGCAAGTTTCCCCCATTTTTCCCCATTTCCCAATGTTTCTTCGCTCCTATTGATCGCAGCCTAATTTCTTATAATGATCTAACCAGCATAAACACAATTTCGGAGTTCGGACCAATAGTTTCTGAGATTATAGCTTTATAACATTAGTATAGATAAGGCTTTATTGCAATGGATTCGAATTTTGCGAATCGATGAAATTGTTCTAAATTTAAATAAAAAAATAAAAAGTACACATTTAAATAAAACACTTTAACGGTTTTAAACGCGATATATATTAGTGAAACGTCGATACGTAGTTTTAATTTTTAAATAAGTTTAGCTAATATACATCGCGTTTTAAACGGTTAAAGTGTTTTATTTAAATGTTCTAAATTTCTCATAAAGTATCAATTAAAGTAAGTTATAAGTTGACTAGATTATACTTTCAGGGTTCAGTTCACAACAAAAGGAGCTTTAATTAATTCCAGTTCGTTATTAACACTTAAGCTTAGAGGAACAACCGATTGAGTGGAAATGGAGAGATTCCGACAAAAATATGGTGTTTTAATTTAACGCTCGGCGGACTCTTGACGATTTAATTTACCTTAATAAAGTATACAAAGACCCCTCGAAACATCTCAATTAGAAGAGCAATGTCATATCGTTAAAAAAAAACATGGGAAAATTTTAATTTTTGGAATAACGAAGAAGAAGACGAAGTTGCCAAAAGGGAAATTGTAAAGTTTAAGTAAGTTCTACGAAGAATCATTATTATCATGTATTATTGTAAATCTCAATTTTCAAGGTTGCCTGGAAGAAGTCGCTTTTTAGCGAAAAGGCCGCCTTTTCTCGCTACATTTTATTAATTTTTAATTAAGTTTATTTTGTAAAATTGTGGTGAAAATAAAGTAGTTTTTGTTGTTGAAGCATCAAAAGTTCTCGGAGTATTTTTTTAATCTACTCCAGTTACAACAATCACACCGCAGTGCAATTGTAGTAATGCGTGGCTAAAAATCAACGGGCCGTGGGTTTGATCCACACCGGGTTTTCTTTTTCAAATCAATTTAAAAATTTTTCGTAACATGTTCTACTTACTCTGGAAATCTGGACATTAAATGGGTGGTAGGAATTGAAGCCCCGTCGGGGTCACGAACCACCGTCACAGATGAAAGTCATCAAGTTTAAAAGCGTGTTGGGTCAGTTTGGATTTCCGAATAACCAAAGCCAAAATTCTTTATATAGTTGGGGGTATTTCACCTATAATGAAGTGAACCCCACGGCAATCATATCCCTCTTTCTTTCCCCCCCCGCCCCCGCCGCCCCAAAAGTCGAAACTCCCACGCTAATTTAACATATCCCTCTAAACCTAAAGTTTTATTTAAATAAAAAATAGTTACATTCGCAGATGAGGCCGCAAGAGCCAGAGTAGCCTAACTGCAATTTTATGACTTGACTTATTTATATTTTTTGATCTAAAAATGTTAATCTACAAGAGCATAGTGACCGAAAATTATAAAAGAGGAATAGAAGAAAAGAAGGCTGCCAGAGCAGCCTCATATCTTCTAAAATTACCTAAGTCCTTAAGTCAATATTTGACTCAAGTGCGTGCATGTAGATAAAATTACTGGTAAGCGATGTTTTATATGTAGGTTTTACGCTCGTCGTTTCAAATAACCGGAAAAGTGGGAACGTGCCGTGGAAATTAATGAGCAGTTTTATCCTAACCGATAAGGGCTGATAAAATCGAGAATTAGAGATTGGATACTGGCGTATCAATAGGCATTAATTGAACTATGGCGTCTTATTTATATAATGTACAAAAATAATACCGGTCATAAGTATTAAAAAAAGAAGAATCCTCAAAGAAAAGTAGGACGATAGCAAGAACTATTAATTTCTCATTTTATTCTTTTGTCTCTAATTACTTGACATTGTCTGAAATCAATGAATTGTCTAGAATCCAATCAATCGGAAATTTCCTTCCTCAGATTAAAAACTAATAATCTATACTAACATATAAAGCTGAAGAGTTTGTTTGTTTGTTAGAACGCGCTAATCTCAGGAACTACTTCGTTCGAATTCAAAAATTATTTTTGTGTCGGTTAGAGCATTTATAGAAGAAGGCTAAAGGCTATGAAACAAAGCGCTGTGTCTAATAGGAGCGAAGAAACAGCGGGAATCGTCGAGAAAACGGAGAAAATGAATTCCTTGTGGGTTTCCATTTTGTACGCCGCTGATTTTGTATGCTGCGAAAAAAGTCTGTGACAGTATATGTCCATCTTTTAAGATTTACCTGCAAGAACAGTGAGACGCGGACAAATTTGATTGGTAACAGTTCAAATTTATAGGGTTTGCAAAAACAAAAATGGATATCCAAAATAATTTATACTACGAAGTCGCGTGACTCAGCTCACTCATCTTTATCATGATTTAAAATTTACCTATCTTTTCTTTTTCTCTTTAAGATTCTTGTAGTACTAGATATTTTATTAAAATTCCTGACAATAGCTATTGTAATAAGCATTTTTTTTATATACTCGGTTATGAATAGCAATGGTTATTCAGGCAAACATAATCAGAAACGTCTTGTCCAAAGAACTGTTTTCATAAAGGTGTAATATTCAGTGAAGTGTAGATAAAAATTAGGACAAGTAGCAAATATAATATTTTATAAGGCTGTTTCACTAATTTTCTGTTTTAGGTTCCAGAACGTCCACTTTATGTTAAGAAAATATTATTTAAACTTAGAACAAATGAATAATAGAATTCGTATATAAAAAATATGGTCTTCGTGGTTCTAACAAATGAATGATTGTAACTCAATTTTTTGCTTCGAAAAGTTGTTTAGACTTCTCCTGAACTCGACATAATTATAGAGAAGTGCGATGTTATTTCCTCTAAATTTGAAAATAATTGTGTTATATATAGAAAATTTAATTGTGGATTTAATAACTTTAGCGGAAGTTTCTTCGATACAAAAATTCTTATAAATTCTTCTAAGTTAACTTCTTTAAGTAAGGGTTCTTTTTTGAAAATTAATATTTTTCACATGTTATTGCACATGAAGGCACTATTAATTTAAATCGAAAATAAATTGAAAAAATTTTCGACTCGGCAGGACTTGAACCGGCATCGTCAGCTTTCCTCTGTTGCTCTACCAATTGACTACCGAGTCCTACACCTCATCGTCGAATTTTTTCAACTTATTGATACATGCACCTCTCGCGCAATGTAATTTCTACCTTAACACTTGCGTATTAAGGCTCAATGTCTTTTGCTTTGCAGCTTAAGAAATCATTGAAGATGAAATTACAAAGTTATAACGTTTGAAAACATTAATATTTTTCACATGTTATTGCACATGAAGGCACTTTATAATTTAAAAATCGAAAATAAATTGAAAAAATTTTTTTTCAATTTATTTTCGATAATTTTACTTAATACGCAAGTGTTAAGGTAGAAATTACATTGCGCGAGAGGTGCATGTATCAATAAGTTGAAAAAATTCGACGATGAGGTGTAGGACTCGGTAGCTCAATTGGTAGAGCAACAGCACGGAAAGCTGACGATGCCGGTTCAAGTCCTGCCCGAGTCGAAAATTTTTTTCAATTTATTTTCGATTTTTAAATTAAGGGTTCTTTGTCATCGGCGTGAAGACCACTTAATTGGTACTTTCTAGAAAATATTTGACTTACTTGGTGGATAATCCCGATAGCTGATATCTGAGTACATAGCGAACGGTGAAGCACAGACGAACGCGACGACCCATAAAACTAATATTATTCTGGAGGCTCTTGTCAGCCCAGCCATGGCATACAGATGTAGGGGGTGGCATATCGCCAGATATCGTTCCAATGTGAACGCTGATATTGTTAGCACTGATACATAACTCGCTCTGAAACAAAGATTTAAAAAAACATTGACTTTACTACTACAATACTACAGCACTTTTAACACAAACGGATGTATTTTTTAAGTATGTAGGCAATTTTGCCTTTATACTTATAAAAATCTTTATTTTTTATTGTATTTAGACTATTTTAATAGCGTGTCAATAGTGAGTTTTAATAATTAAACGCTATACTTTGCGGTTTTCAAAATTAAATAATAACGTAAGTAAAGTGACTCGATAGCTCAATTAGTAGAGCAACAGCACGGAACGCTGACGATGCCGGTTCAAGTCCTGCCCGAGTCGAATTTTTTTTCAATTTATTTTCGATTTTTAAATAAAAATCTTAACTAATAATCTGGAACTGTAATAAAAAAAATACCAATTACTGTAAACTTGGAAAAAAAAAGAAGATCTTTAAAAGCAATAGAAACTTACTTAAATAAATAAACTACCTAAAATACCTAACATTGTTAGGAGTAAAACCGATTTTCTATTTATTCAAAGTAATATTTTTTTAAAAGACAAAACAAATATATAATAGGCGTCTTTAAGAATTACTTCCTGCGTTAAGCGAGACTAGGTTTGACACTTAGACACTTGATAACACTCGATCAATAGATATAAATATGGGAGTAACTTATTTTTGATTCAAACCTTCAACTTTAAATGTAATTCTTTCTTGCAATAAAAGTCCTTTTTTATTAATACATAATATATAAATAAAAAAAAAATAAAGTCTCTAATGAGTAAGCTCTGAATTATACATCTATTACTTACGCCTCTGATATCAAAGCTCGTAATTTGCAGAAAACAATGCCCAAACTGTACGGGTATTGATGCCAGTAGACTGTTAGGTCATTAGGCAGGCCTGGAACAAAATTGTTAGGTTTAAATCACACAGTTCCATTCAGGTACTCTGGCGTTTCCTTCCTTTGTCTGTAGACTAAAGAGTTCGTTTGTTATTTAATTGAGAAAGTACTGTACTAAGTTTGATATTTTGTTTAAATAAAACACTTTAACGGTTTAAAACGCGATATATTAGTTAAACTTATTTGAAAATGATTTTTAACTTTGGCCCGACGTTTCGGATGCTTTGCAGCAGCACGGGTCTCCCCGTGACCACGGCACCAATGTGTACTACTCGCGTAAACTATAGACAGTATCTCTGATATTTTGTTGTTAATTAGAATTAAATGCATAGCATCTCGTTGTGACAAATTTTGTATTACTGTGCTTCTCTATAAAGTTTAAAGCGCCAATATATTTACATGACTGTATATTTGGATTGCTATAAGCGGTGAACGCAGAACTGCCTAGGATATTAACGAAGCGACTCATTGTTCAATTATTTTGAATGCGAACATATACGATAAAAATCATCAACATCAACCTATATTCGTCCACCGCTGGACATTGGCCTCTCAAAGCATGCCACTCGGCCTTATCTTTAGGTCTTCTTTCTTCCTTACGTGCTTACGTGTTAGAAAGTTTATTTTCATACATTATACCTTATTTGAACTCTCCAACCATTCAGTACTCATATATGACTAATGTCATATGTGAGTACTGAATGAAAATATTCTAAAAGCTTTATAGCCGAAGATTTCAATACGTTGTACTATGTATCTAAGAAACCTAGATTTCCAAAGGTCGCGTAGACGAGGTTTTCTAAAGATGAATATGTCTTGCGATATGTTTAAGGTCAGCAAATGTGCTTTTAGGGATTGAAGGGTCAAGTATTCAGACTCTTTCTTGTGTGCTAGCGTTGCTATAATCTCGCAGACTAAAATATATTTACATTCTCCTTTAAAACATTTTAATATCGTATGATCCGGCAGTTACAGACATTTTAGATGATTTAAAGAGGAATCATTACTATAACATTGCTTTTTGATTTTTTGAAACGTTTTCGCAGCGCACACAACAAACTGTCAAAGATGAATGAAATTCCTTTTTTTTCAATTTAATAACTGTTTCTTCGCTCGCGAGTATCATTGGTCGCAGCGTGATGTTATATAACCTTTTGGATATCTTGTACCGTTTTTGCAGCGTACGCTTCGGAAACCCATAATGATGAATAATTTTCATTTCCCGCTGCATCTTCGCTCCTATTAGTAACACGACGATGTTCTTATCCTATAGCCTCCCTCGATAAATGTTCTAACCAACACAAATAAAAATATTTCTAAAACGTAGTTCCTGAGATTAGGGCATTCAAACAAACAAACTCTTCAGCTTTATATATTAGTATAGACAGACGCCAACAATCGAGTTATCAAACCTCGAATTTCTTTGTTACATTTCATTCTTTAAAATTCCGAATGACTAAGCAAACAGTATCTAGATCTCCAGCATATTACTTGGAAATGTCAAGTTTTAACACCAACATAACTTACCGACTCTAGTTTAATCAAAATATTTTTCTGGTTGGAAGTGTTACATCAAATTAGGCCTGCCTTGTTGCATTTGATGAGACGCCAGAAATACATTGCCCGAATACAAATATTGCGCTAAATCGCTGTTCTTTTTCACAGACACTATTTTAAAGCATTGAGAAAATACAGCATATCATTGTCTTTCGGGCTGTTCGTCCGATGTGAGCGAGAAGAGGTTCTCGACGTTTCGCCATCTTCGGTATTCTCTAGATATACTATGTTTGAATAAAACTTTAACGTTTTAAAACGCGATATATATATTAATAAAACTTATTTGAAAATGATTTTCAACTACGGCCCGACGTTATACTATGATATAAAATGCGTTTGATTCCTCAACATAACGCGATACTTGTTGTGGCGCAGAGATCTCCATGAATATTTATAGTCTGAAGTTTTGGGATAAAAATTTGCATACTTTAATATTCTGACCAGGCAGAATTACGTTTTAATAGCGACCCAGCATGCATTTGAAATTCTTCGGAAATTCATTTAGCTTCTAATAAAACAATTTCCAAGAGTTTAAACTGCGAACAATACCTTTTATTGCTATACAAATATATGAAGCTGAAGAGTTTGTTTGTTTGAACGCGCTAATCTCAGGAACTACGGATTCGAATTGAAAAGATAAATTTATGTGTTGGTTAGAGCATTTACCGAGGAAGACTATAAGGTTTTAAACTCGCCTTGTGACAATCAACCGAAAACAACGAGAAATGTGACAAAAAATGGGGAAATTCTTGAGTAATAGGTTCCAGGCCTGCAACTACGGTTCAAGATACCTAAAAAATATGTATGAAAGAATAATTTCTTTTTAAATGATCCAAGAAACAGTCACCGACGCTATATGTTATCTTGTAAGAATATCTTGCAAGAACACAGAAGTACGAAACTCGCCGTGGTAACACTTAGTTTACAGATGAAGGGGTTTGCAAAAATTAATTTGAAATTAAATTTGACCATCGCTACTTAGTTAAACATATTAATTTATTCAAACATTTGAGGAACCCTTTTTTCATATTTACGTAATTTAGATAGTAGATACAATTAAAAATGGCATATTTTAATTAAATAAATACGTTCACTTTTAAATTAAGCAACTTTTAAAATAAACCAGTTTAGTGGACTTAAACTATTAAGTTATCAGCAAGACCCAGTATCACTTAAACTTTAAACAAACAAGGATAATATGTATTCTTGGGTCTACAAATCGTAAATTACTAGAAGTATGCTTGTTGTTCTTGCAACTTGATAGTATAGGTCATGAATAGAATCTATGAAGGTCTGTAACTGGGTTAAAACATACTATGTAACATATAATGGGACAGTAGCACATCATCCCCTTTCGAACATTCATATTAGTGTTTAAAATTTACATAGCTGTACTGCCTTGCTGTACACTTTACTGTTTAGATACACCGGTTTTCATAAATTATATTGTACGTAAAGGTCAATATTTGTATGCACAACTTAGAATCGAACTCATGACCTGCCTATGTCATTTAGACTAACATGACGCGGTAAGCCAATTGGTTAAAGCAACAGCACAGGATGCAGTGGATGCCGGTTCCAGTCCTGCCTGAGTCATATTTTTTTTCAATTTATAATCGATTTTAATTTTTAAAGAACTTCGGAACTTAACAATGTGTGACAAAATTAAAAATATTTTTTATAGTTTACGTTATTTAGGTAAAAGTGAATTTTATTATTATATTTTAAAACTAATAAATAAAACAAACGTATAAGGTGAAATGAACTGTCAAGAGAAGTTTTCTCTTATTATATAAAGTTTTATCTGCCGACTACGTGTTGTGTTTCTAAATAGAGAGAAACAAATAGAAAAAGATGCTATTTTTAAATGTTGAGCAAAAATATGGCAAAAAAATGGCTTTTGTAGAACAATAGTTAAACTTGAGGTACAGTATAGCGTTAAACAGAAGCAGTCCAGATCTCGAATCCCGGGGAATACATAATTTCGGTCAAGCGGGCCACGGACGTTTATCAACTACTCGCATACTGTCTGTATTTTCGGGAGTAGTGCACATTTAAATAAAACAAACTAAAAATTTTCGGTTTAAAACGCGATATATGTTAGTTAAACTTATTTGAAAAATATTTTAACTACGGCCCGACGAGTCTCCTCGTGACAAGGTATAATATACATCATACAACATATAGAATCTATACCAATATTAAGAGCTAAAGAGTTTGTTTGTTCTTAAAAAATCTTTTTGGTTTACTCAGAACATTTCTTGAAGAATGCTATAAAACATAGCACTAAGACTGATAAGAGCGAATAAACAGCGGGAAATGTCGATAAAAACGGTGAAAATAATTCATCCTTTTGGATTTCCATTGCGTACGCTGCGAAAACGGTTCAAGATACCAAAAAAAAATTGTATCAAAAAATTATTTCTTTTTAAAAGATCTAAAAAAAAGTCCGCGACATGTCCGCGATGTCTATCGTCTAATATGAACTTTCCAGAACAACGGAACGCGGACGTCGTCGTGGGTAACAAGCTCAAAGTTGAACAAAAGTTTGCAAAAAAATTGATATCCAAAATAATTATCCTACGCGTACGAAGTCGCCGACTCAGCTAGTTAAACATAAATGTATATCAAACATTATCGAACAGATGTTTTTGTCGTGTCTTTCAAATGTTCATCATACACAATACAATTTGTGCTTCTATATTTAGAAATTGCATCAAGATATTATCCATTGATCTAATATTCCACGTATTTCGGCAACTGACGATAAATAATTCTCTCCCGTTCGCTTACCCTATCGCCTTTGCACGAAAAATATTAATAGTATGTTCTTTGAGTTGGTAATTCTTACTGTCTATAGTTTGCGCGAGTAGTACACATTTAAATAAAACACTTTAACGGTTTAAAACGCGATATATTAGTTAAACTTATTTAAAAATGATTTTTTAACTTCGGCCCGACGTTTCGGGTGCTTTGCAGCAGCCGTGGTCACGGGGAAACTCGGAAAACCTACGTTATCCGCCATTTTGTAGTGGCCGCCATCTTGGATTTATAATGATAATGAAAAAACATAATTGTATTGCCACCAAAATGCAAAGTGTATACAGAATTTCAGATTAATTGGTTGACAGGAAGAGGGTGAAATTTGGATTACTAAATTTGACCCAAGAATAAATAATAAAAAAAAACCAACGGCGTGAGCTAAATTAAACCATTTAAAAATATATAAATCTTATGATCACTGTGCGTAATAGAAGTAATTAAGTAAACTCAAACACGAACTATTAATATAATAATTCTCATACATAGTATAGATATATATCTGAAAATTATTGTATACATAATACAGTAAACAGTGCCATAACTGAATAAACGTTTAAATTATTTTTTTCTATTTCTCTATGTTATAGTTTACGCGAGTAGTACCATTTAACTAAAGCATTAAACGTTTACCGATATATTAGTTAAATTATCCTGAAAATATCCTTATTTTCCAAGTATATTCTCTCTTTTATGATAGTATAAGTTTCGTGTACTTTCGTTATTCCATTGATGTAAATAATCGATTTTATTTGTACATTTCAATAACGCTTCGACGTTGCACTTTATATGAAAATTCCTTTTGTACGTGCTGTCCCGAGGTTCAAAGCGAAACTTATTATACTTTAGAGATGAAGATTCCAGTCTTTATTCATTATTACTCATAAAAAGCGGACACATTAATAATTCTTCGCCTTTTATATAAGCTCACTTAATCTAACAGTTATTATAAGGAAAATTAGCTGTTAGAGACAATTATTATTTTCCTCTATCTAATACAGGCGATATATTTGACAATATACAATGTGATATATATTAAATCTATTATTGTACAGTACACGTTTTTTAATGTCTGTACCCTTCTAACTGTTT